ACTATTGCATTCAATCTGTTCACAGAGTCCCAAAAACTGAAGTATGCCTCATAAAAGAGGCGCTGGACTAGCTCAGCTTACTGACTTCATCCCCTCTCAGCCTGCTGTCTCTCATCATACATTAAAAAACGGTAAGAATGAATGGGGGAAAAAAATAGCAGAAAACTCCCATGCAAATGACTAATATCAACCACACTGCCTGACACCAAGAAAAACCAACCAGACTGCATTTGTGATTCCCATGGTAATCACTGGTACAGAAAGGAGCAGCTATGCACARCTTGCTGGGCTAAGAGCTAGAACAAACAAGGTAAATCAGTCACTTCTCACGGAGCCACCAGGCARTGCAGCCCAGCCAAAGGCTTAAGGGGCAGCCAAGGCTCCATGGTGCTCCCTCTGCAACACAGCTGTCCCACTGCTTCCCTTGGTGCAGAAGCACAAARTGTGACAGCAGAGCCCAGCTTCTGGGCCACAATCACAGACACTTTCACCYTCCTCCAGACCTGAAGAGTACAGTCTTCCATAATGAAACTCCTGCATTCCTTCAGAACTCGGTTCCCTTTTCCCCACTAAAATACTATTCGAAAATTCCCTCCAGATGCTTTACTCATTGCCCAAACACAAACAAAACCTGTAACTAACCAGTATCATTATTCAGTCCTTAACACTTCTTATTCTTTCCAATGGTCCTCCTAGTTTTTTCAGCAAAAAATCAAAATACCCATAACCCTTCATTAGGGTGTCATTGATTTGAAGTGACTGCCCACTGAGCTGGTGCAAGGTAGAACACACAGAAATTCATGTTTAGCTGAGAATACTTCCCGATTCCAGAAAATCATAACATCACTTTCCACTGTATAAACTTTGCCAGTCTTCACCCTTATCAGTTAATATCCTTTACCAYGTGTGTTTAGCCCAGAATTTAAGATCACTTCTAATAACTCAATGAGAAAACTGAGGAGCAATTCTCTTCACAAGCTGAAGAATCAGTTGCACCTCTTTCACTAGCAGCTCCAGTAAAACCTCCTCTATCACTACAAAGTGGCTTTGTTATTCCAAAACAAGGCAGAAAAAACTCATTACATTTCAAAATCACTACTTTTGCAAAACAGAGACATTTGGCAGACATTACTTTGTGTGTGATTTTCATTCTTTTTGTGGGGACCAGCTCGTACAGGTGCTGCATGAATTTTCAGGTAACCCCTGGGGTAAAGCTAAAATTTTATGTGCTAAGGGGTGGTTGTCCCCTTCAGCGCGAGAGACAGAAGGCTCATAGACTGTCTCACAGACTTGAGTGCCAGAGAAACAGAATCAATCAAAACAATCGTTTACACAAATGAACCTGGACAGGCTATTTTAACATATTACCTGCAAGAGCTGGTGTCAAAAGATTTTCACTTTTTTGTTAAACAAAATSGTTTTCAGCTTATTTTCTGTACTTGGTTATGCTCTCCCACTGCTCTGGTAAGCACTGTTTCTTCCCTTGTTTTCAGTAATTCTTGAAATCCTAAAAAACTGAACCAGCTTGCACATTAACAAAAGTGATACAACTTATTTACACATAATTTGAATAAGTATTGCTTACTGAATAAAGAATAGCCTGGAATAATAAAGCATTATCATTTCAAGACTTCCCTAACATTTCACTTCACCAAGGGAAGTTCACCAGTGAACCAGTCTGACAACTTAAAAGATCAGAAATACCATGACTTAAAAAAACCTCAAGCAACTCAGCTGACCTGCAGCCAATAAACAACTGTAGTAGCTCATCAACTTCACAAGTATTTGTAAACAGGAACAGGGCCTGGAATGCAGCAGGGGAGAAGAAATTCTGCAACTTTTGGGAGAAAAACCTGTGACATTTTTATGGGCGTCAGTGTTTGTCAAAACAGATTTACACTAAGATTTTAGCGGAAACAAAATTAAGTATGAATTATAATAAGACAAACATGAGATAAAAGCCTGAAAGGGAAGGTCAAAGAAAACCACAGGAGATAAGAGTCTTAAAAACAGTTTATGTTTGCTGTCTATGTAAAGAAACATTAATTCAGTTAATCAAAACCACATAAAAACATCACAGCTGCCGACAGCCATAGCACTGCTTTATTCCAATGGGCAAGTTTGGTGTTTCCAGACTGGTAAGAGGAAGACAGGATAAAACCAGCTTAAAATAACACATTAAGATCAGAGAATCCTATAATATTTTCCATATGAAAGGAATGAGAAAGGAGTGTCTTTACAAACAGACTGATTCTGGGGGTAAGATAAAGCTGATAGTGGGAGTTAGAAGGAAACAATGGGAAGGATTTCAATAAGAATTCCTTTGACTGACTCATCCCAGACTATGTTAATAGACTACAAGAGCAGAGACACTGAGATGTATATTGAAAGGGGGCAATGTATGATAGAAGAGGGGGTTTTCATCAAGCATTTCGGGGAGCCTGTACCTCCCAAGTACCTCAGCCAATGGGGAAAGAGAGAGAGAACTGCACCTGGGAAATCAGGATAAAAATTCATCCTCTATGAATTTGAGAGACCCCATGGGAAATGCCCATGACCTCTCCCTCTACTCATGAATAAAGTCCTGGGACTCCTCTCCTTTTTGGACATAAAACTCTGGTGCTTCTGGATTAATTTTCCTAACACATGTCACATACTACYGTCAGAGACTGAAATGTTAYAGTTTATGACTTAAACATTTTCATGACGGACTTTCTGCATATTATAGCAAAACCATACAAAAGCTGCAGAGCAAGCCACCAAATCCCTGAATGAAGCCCTGGCTACCCTGCCCACTGGTCCCTGATCAAAGATAAGATACAGAACAGCTCAGAGCTGGAGAGGAGGACACATTCATAAAGGGATCATGCTTAGCACATTGGGTGGGGACCATCCCCCCAGGGCTATCAGCTGCCAGGCCAGCACAGACCCTCACTTCAAAGGGTGATGAGGGGAGAAGAGAGACTTTGGGTGTGCCTGTGGTCAGAGGCAAAGAAATGCCCATGCTCTGCTGTGCAAAGGAGCTCAGCTGTACGGCCCTGCATCCCGGAAGAGCTGATCCGAGCTGATGTGGACAGTCAAGGGGCYGTCATGGCCCATCAAATACCCCACCCCAAAAGGGTGCCCAGACCCTACAGCAGAGATGATGCAACAAATCCACAGTGTTGCAAGGGACAGTGTCAAACCAAGCCTCCTGCAGGGGTGAGACATGGGCGTTCCCAGCTGGCTCAAAACGCATATTAATGCACTGGATTCTGTACTCTTTGGCGTGGCGGCAGCAGCGGCGGGGACCCTCARCACCCAGATCACGGGATGGAGGGGAGCAACGAGACGTYGTTAGGACCCCCGGAAGGGTGATATGTTTCCATTTAACCCCTGTCACCTTCTCCCTGTCCCCCTGTCCACACCCCCTCCCCCGCCCATGGACACTCTCTATTTCTTTCTTTTTTCTCTCYTTCTTTCTCTTTGTCTCATCTGCTATCAAATAAAGTATATCAATTTTTTTGGCATCGACACTTAATCTCGTTTGGTTTTAATCTCGTTTTGGGAATATTTTGAACCTTTTCTCRTTCGTCCGCTTTTTTCACACTCAGTTTCCTCTGCTTTTCTGTACTTAAATCGGATCGTAACAACTACATATTCCAATGTTAAGTTGTTACTTGAGGATAACCAAGTAACCAAATCAAATTACACACAGAAAACATGGAACCTCAGAGTAAACATTTTTAAATTATTACGAACTTCAGTAAAATAAAAAAAAAAAAAAAAACAGTTGAAGTTCAACAGTGCTAAGTGTAACTTCTCATCCCCTGCTGTTTTGTCCAAATTTTAGACAAATCTGGAAAGAAAAAAATCTTTCCTCACTGAGACCTACTATAATTATACTACAACAGATAAAAGAACATTAACTGTTGTTTAGACAGTCATACAAGATGGATCTTGGAATTACACCTGCATACTGCCATTCACTCAGTTTCCACTAAATGAAGGAAAAGAAAATCTTAGGACACGGTAAGAACAACTATTAGCAAGATATTTCAATACAAAATAGAACAAAGGCTCTTTTATCTCATCATTCAAGCACAATTCAATAGGACTCAAAATCCACGCAGATTGAACACATCATTCCCTAAGAAAAACCTCAGTGTGTTAATGACTTATTTTCCTCTTTCAGATGAGGTTGACAAAGGTTTGATGTGTTACACTGACAGGAACTGATGCTGATGCCACTGTAGCAACAATAACAGTTCACAGACAGGTAGGCTGCAGCTACAACACAGATGGGACAAGAGTCCATCTCAGCAATTTTAGATTTCAAAAACATCCAATGAAGGAATAATACACGAACTTAAAAGAATCACATTAATACTTTATGAATATTGGAAAGATTATACCCAGCATACATGATGACAATCACACTGTCTTACTTAAGACACAAAATAAGCTTTCACATRGTAATCAAGTAGCTCCAAATAAAAAATTACCTTGTTTCATTGTAAAAGTTTTAGCAGGGTTGAAATTGAAAGGAATGAGAAGGTAGTTTCGTTACAAACAGACTGATTCTGGGGGTAAGATAAGGCTGATAGTGGGAGTTAGAAGGAAACAATGGGAAAGATTTCAATAGGAATTCCACTAATTGACTTATCCCAGACTATGTTAATAGACTACCTGAGCAGAGACACTGAGATGTATATTGAAAGGGGGCAATGTATGATAGAAAGGGGGTTTCATCAGGCATTTCAGGAAGCCTGTACTCTCAAGTACCTCAGCCAATGGGGAAAGAGAGAGAGAACTGCACCTGGAAAATTGGGATAAAAAGAGGCTCCATCCTCTATGAATTTGAGAGACCCCATGGGAAATGCCCATGACCTCTCCCTTTATTCATGAATAAAGTTGCGRGACTCTTCTGTCTCCTTTTTGGACATAAAACTCCGGTGCTTGTGGATTAATTTTCCTAACACAAAGAAGCTAATAGATACACAAAAGTAAGTCAGTCATACCTTTAGCCACAGCTTCTTTATACTTTTCTTTGGCAGTATTTACTTCTTTTATTAGTTGCCTGTAGCTACATTTTAGTTTCTCTAGTTCTGTCTTTGTGACCTTTAAGAAAAGAGAAATTAAAAAGCATTAAAAATATACTTATTCTCAACACATTAAAAAAATCATAGCATTAGTCAAAGAGAATTAACAGAATTTACTATACAAAATAAGGATGCTACACTTTCCATTGACTCGAGMTAATCTTAATAGGATATTACATGGAGCAATTACATAGTGCAAATTACATGTTGCAAATTACATGGTGTAAAATCAAAATCAATAAATGCATGGAATTAAATAAGAAGCCKCAGACACAGATCCCAATTCATATCAGCATAATTAAAAATATATTTAGGAAATCCAGCTAATCATCAACAATATTCCAACAAAGGAAAAAAACTTCAAAAAGATGCTTAACAAATCATACTAGCTTAAAACGTCCTATGCATAGGAAGGAATTTCTTTAGCACCTAAAAAAAAAAAAAAAAGTAGAATTTTTAGATGTTACATTCATACAAATGACTAAGGAAGAGCAATTTGGCATGAAACAATCTATCAACTGTAGAACTTTAAATCCTAAAAAAGGAAAACCAAACCAACAAAAAAAAAACCCAAACAAAAACCCAACTACTGAAGCAACCAATCAAACTAAAAATCTCTACCATGAGACACAGCACTAAATTTTTTTGGTCAAAAAATTAAAATAAAGTTGTCTTTTCCATCCCCTGCATTCATTTGCAGTGTCAGAAAATTAATGCACTGCTCAGAAATAATCCCAAATCATGAACTTGCAGAAAAAAGCCAGTAACAAACAAGTTGTCACAATACCAGGAATAGCTAGCATATACTGTAAAGAAAAGTAAAAATGAATTTACCAAAAAAAAAAACCAAAAAAAACAACCCAAAGCCAAATCAAATAATAAAAAACCCAACAAAAAAAAAAACCCACAGAAAAATAGCCTTTCTTTGGAAAACCACGGAAGAGGAACTTATTGTTTTAAGGAAGTATTCCTTTCAGTGCATACACAGAAAAAGAAATCCACTCCACTGAAAAATTGTTCCTTCATACAGCTGGCATGAAGAAGGCTGAAGTTTAAATTTTCCCTTTTTTTTCATGAGGCAAGACCCAGATAACATTACTTTCACCACCCCAGAACACCTGAAAACTTCATGAAATGCCTTTAAGATTCAACAAATTGTTGCCTACCACTTCTATTTTTGGGCCAACTGTGCAAAATTTGATTCAAAGCCTTTGAATTAACCTTTTCTCTGTATCAATTACATATACCCAACTCATATTTCTACACACTGTAAATTATGCTCACAACTGCTGTTATTACACACTAATAGAGGTAATGCAAGAAAAATAACTTTATGACAGAAAGGCATCATGAGGAAATGGAGAAAAAGATTTMGAGAAAATGGAGAAAAGTCATTAGAAAGTAGTTATCTCAAGATACAAATAACACAAACAGTTTCTCTTACAAAAMACTCAAAATAAAAGACAAGCTTCTAGCTTTATGAAACCTTTGTAATAAAAAAAAGGTTTGCCTTTATTATTATGAATAATAATACCCCAGAAATAATACCACAAAACATGAGATTTTGTATTTCAGRGAATCATTCTCAAAGTGCTCCAGGTACACAAAACCTTAAACAATGTCAGCTAACAATGCCAGAACACTACTTGAATGTTTCTTTGCAAAATCAGGAAGGGGAAAAAAGAAAAAACAAACCCAAAAAACCTCAAACCAAACAACAATGCAAGCTTATTCAGTAGGATGTAAAATACTTTCATGGCTATGCAGACCATAATTAAATAAAGTCAATATGGTTTGTAACAATCATTTGGTGAGCACTCAAAACGCATTATGCTCTTTTGGAAAAGTCTTACCTTAAAAGATTAGAGATTTTATTAGATTTTGACCTATTAACGGAAAAAAAAATCCTTTTGTACAGTCTGTTTTCAAAGTATGCCTGAGTGTCTAGAAATCTTATCCCATTCAGCCTCTATTATATCCTTCTTTTTCTCTTTCCTCAAGTCTCTATAACTGCTATTACTTCTAACACATGCTACCAGCTTTTCCTCTTCTTCCATTCTGGCTTTTTTGAGATGCAACAATCCATAAGTAGCAGTGAGTGATTATTTGGCTTGGAAATTTTATCAGATAATGACACCCTACTGACCATGCACCGAAAAGATGTATTCCCCATGGTCACTACTGGGGGAAGTTGCCAAGATTCTAGGATATTAGAGGCTTCTTATTAGAGCCAATGTATTTAACTTAAAAWATTCTTAGTTCAAACAGAGAATAGCTCCAAGCTCTTCATTACTGGCCCAAGAACCTTTACTCACCAGTCTGTGACAGTGTTTTTGCTTTACTCAGATGTTACATTTATATACACTACAACAAATCCCAAATTCTCCGCTGGAAGAAAGAAGAAACAGTACTTTTCCTTCTCTCAGYAGACCTTTCAGACTATCACTCTCATTTTTGACATCTGTAGCTAAATTTCCCCCAAAGCATCCGAATGATGCTGTAATTTCTGTCAGCTCTATTGACAAGATACGGCACTTTCAATACAAGCAGGACAACTGATAAGTCATGGAAAACACTCTGAAAAGTTTCACCTGCCATCTCAATGTTTGTTATACACCTGACTTCTATTTTAAAATAGGGACTAAAATCCTGTCCCCACCAAAACAGTCTGGACTGTCAAGACCACTAATTAAGAAAAATTTACAGTGCCCTGGTCCCAGGAATGTCTAGAGTGGAATGAGAACACAAAGAAATGGTATAGTGAAGCATCACACAAGAATCTCCTACTGGAAGAAGACCATTTCCAGAGCCATCTGTCCACAGAAATTCATATAGAAGAAAGCTTTCCATCTTTGCTTGTCAGCTAGCAGGAAAAAAAAAACTGTGTAGAAAATCATTTAAATTTAAACTCTGCATTCTATATGTCACACACTATGCTTTTACCATAGCACAAATAAAAACAGCAACTAAAAAATCCACTCTCAGTTTACTGTTTTTATATATACAGAATTATAATCAATTTATCAAACACAGATGAATAAAATACCTTGTACATCTCTGCTTCAATTTGTTGATGAACACCTACAAAACTCTTCTTAACTTGCTGCTTATCTTTGATCATCATTGTAAGCCTATGCAAGGGGCCAGAATTAAGATCTTCTGCATGTGTCTTCATTATTTTGCTCAGCTGTTCTGTTTGCTGTACCACGAGCAACCAAGACTATAAAAAAAGACAGAACAGAAAAGCATCAGCTTTATTTCAGCTCACAAATAACCAATCAATATGAACTGTGAGAAAAGATGCATCACTGCTTAAAAAAATTCAAGTGAATTCAAAAGTGAGTGAATTAATTTTCCCTGACAATGAATGCTATGCTACATCTACGATTTTGGAATGGCTACATGCCACAAAATTACCAGGTTTTGAAGGCTGCAAGTATATGAGTTTTACTGGCATTTATCTTACACTTGCTAAAATAGAAATCTACCTTAGATCAAAACCTTAGAAAATTAGTTCATTTGTCAGCTTTGGGATTTCTTTACGTCCTGCATATAAACATACATATGCAATATTTCCATCTCTACATGAGAATGCTGCAAAAGAAACTGGATTCTAGAAAACAAAATGAAAGATAATTAAGTCCTTGGCACACTGAATTATATTTAACATTTTCTCTAGCTTGTAAATAYCCCACAGACTGGCACAGAGCTATCTATACTGCTTAAAGTGTGGTGTTGTAAAGGGTCAAGGCCTAAAGTTTCCCGTGTTGAAAACCATTTCAGAAGCCATACTCCAGAGCTGCATAGGATAAAACATCACTGAACACCTCTGTGAGAGAAGGGAGCCTTGTGGTTACAGAGGAGTTGATAAAAGTGGTCTCAGAAGTGAAAATGTAGTCAGTCATCCATTTTCTGTAAGGCTGATTTACTACCGATGAGACTATTACTGTTCTAATCCTGAAAAATCACAACAAATACATTTTTCAACAGCACAAGTACTCTAAAGAAATACTTGGTTTACAATTCACCAAATGAGCTTTAGTAGGCCAGAAACATAACAAACACCTCCCTTCCCATTTAAAAAAGAAACCAAAATATTTGCATATTTTCCTGTTCTTTCCATCAGGAAAAGATGAAGGTGATGTTTCCATTGGGAAATATCACCTAAGCAGCATTTCTGTGCTTTGTATGACTATATTTCATTATTTCAAAATAGGAAAAGCTAAAGCAAAAACGCTTCAAAAATTGAGATTTTTATGGGACCTAAAAAACTGGGTGGGGACAGCAGAAAAGGGAAACCRTCTTCTTCTAACAGAAAACTACCACAATCCAACAAATGCCATAAAATACAATATTATTTGGTTTGTTTGGTTTAACAGTATTTTCTAGATATATACACACACAAAAGAGCTGTCTGGAAGCTCTTACAAACACCTCTTTTCTAGCATTACAAGCTGCTACTGCCATGCCCTCCAGCAAGTTTGTTGTCTCCACATGAAAAAAACCACAGGACAGATCTCCCCAAACACCATTTCTCTCTAAGTGTTCGTTCTTGCTGTACATTTACAAATCAAAACAAAACAAAACAAAACAAAACAAAACAACCACAGCAACAAAATCAAACAAACAAAACCAATGGAAAATTACACAGATTGCTATATGGCTTTAATGTCATCAAATGCCAAATAATACCATAATTAAAACACAGGTATTTTACATCTTAGAAGATGTAAGATACTATACTTATGTCCCATAATATTTGCATCATTCTTTGATTCTGTAAAATGTCAAAAAGAGAGAAAAAGTATCATGAAAGAGTAAAATAAATTAGAATGCAGTTAGTACATTAAGCAATAATTCAGGCTTTTAAACTGCCAAAACCAGTAAGATAACCTGTCAGTACACAACTTTAAAATCCAAGGTGTCGGTGAAATTTTAAGGCAAGCCCATACAAAATACTTGCCAATCCATATGAATATTTTTTCTGTTATATAAAGGCGTAGAAATCGGGGATATACCTTAATGAAAAATTACATGTCCTTAAGCAAAAAAAAGGGAACGAAAATTATGCTGAAGAACAACTTGAGTGCCGATGTTCAAAACAAGATTTCAAAATGTGACATGCATGACTCTTTTCCAAAGAGAGGCAAAGAGAATATGGCTTAAGTCYGATCTTCAGATTTCTTTAATTTATCTGCTCACAAGTAGTGCTCATGTTATTAACATGAACTGTCCTGGACTGAGCTACCTATCTGAAGGTTAATGGCTGTTTATACCTCATAATGCTAAACACTCTGTGCCAATGCAAAAAAAGAAAAGCAATTCAATTTGCAAGGCAAGAATTATAGCAGAAGAGGGAAGCAACAACAGACCATGTTCTACATAAACACTGCTCAGTACTGAAGCAGCCCAGCTACTACAGCATAGCTTTCAAGCCACACACATTCACATTAGCCCTGTGTAAATCCATCCTAATGCATAAGGAGCAATCCTGTTCCTAGTGCTATGCCACAGCCACTGCCCAAGCAGCCACCCCAAAAGCCCACTACATAAAAATTGCTTTGTCTAAAATTTAACTTGACCCAAAAAGGGTGTTTTCCTGGAGAGAGAAAATAAGGATTCACACCAGACTGAAGGTACTGTGTAACCACAGCTACAGCACGAGAGCCAAGAACTGAATAGGCCATCAAAACAGAGTAGTCTTCCCCTGTCAGTAGAGAATTCAAGTCAGGAGTAAGACTTTCAAACASACGATAAATGAAGTTTGCTTCATCAACATGTTTGATGCTCTAAGTCTGAAAATCAGTAATCAACAGACAGCGTTACCTTTCTAAAAAGTCAACTCAGTTATTTTAAACAGAATACAAAATAACCTCACAATCATGAGAAACATCCTGAATTAATGTTTTGTTTTTACAATGCACACTGTAGTGTGAGTAACAGCTGGAATTGCCTTGGTTTCCTGGCATTTTTCTATTTCTGTTACAAATTCTATATAACATAAACAATAGTTCCTATCTTAAAAGAAAAGCTTGCTATAGCATACTCTATTTTCAAAACACTAAACAAAATAGCAAGCTGAATACAGTTACATATATAATACTGAATTTCAAAAATCAGGATTGATTCTATAGTTCAGTAATTATTTTCAAAGCAAGACTAGAGCTCAACTTCTTCATATTTCATTTAGGAACTAAAGGAAGCCCACTTTAAATACTTTGGCAACATTAACTCTCAAGAAACCGAATGAACAGGAATCCAATTCAAATCAAAACAAAAGAAAACCCAGCAATGTTATTTCCAAGGATATTCCAAATTCAAAATGCTTCAGACCTACCTTGGACACATTGCTGATATAATCCAGTTGACAAGCGCTCTCTTTATCCACTTGGTTACAAAGATTCTGTAAAGTGGACGCATATTCCTTATCACTTTTTACTCTCATTACCATAAATTTCTTCACTGTTTCCAGCAGTCGTAGTTCCCAGTCTTGCAGTTTTAATAAAGCATCATGAGAATATTTCAGGTCGCCTCCAAACCCCATTTTTTAAGGCACTATATACCAGACAGGGGAAAATACAGGCTCTTCACCACATCTGAAAGGAGAACAAGACTGATGAAACAATTATCAAAACAAAAATTTCAGGTGAGACAAAGAGCAACTATTAATGYCTAAACCCTGAAATAACTTCATCATAAGATTACCACATACATTTACCTCCTCAGTATAAACTGAAAGAAGGGTCTGAGCTCTCTTTTGAACACCAAGTTCTAACTGGAAAAGATTTCAGGCTTAGAACTGCTCTCCATTTCTGCAAAAACATACCTCCCATCTCCTCCATTTCTGCAAAAACATACCTCCCTAACTTGAAGGACAGTATGAAAAAACCCCGTAACAGTATCTAAGACAAACACAATGACCAATTTACATATTTAACCAAGTAAGTCTAGCCAACAGTCTCTCAAGACAAGCTGCCAACTGCAGTTTTCCACTCCTGGTGACCTGAAACATTTGTTTCTGGTGTTTACTGTCCTAAGAGAACAGAAAAATCCAAATAAAACACCAGCTCTCAGGCACTGCATCTTTGGGAAATKGATATCCCCTTAGAAGTTAGTTTGCATCTAAGCCCTGTGTTAACAGACCATAAAGCGTTCATATTCAACCTCCCAAAAACTGGCAAACTAGAAAATATCCCAAACCAGGTTTCCCATCCAATCACACACTGATCCCCTGTCCCCTTAAGGTCACACCATTTTCTCCTGGGACAGTCCAGTCTTATGGACCAAACTGACATAAAACAAGATTGACAAACAGGTAAGATATGCTGCCTTTTGAAATCCTGTAGCAGAACTAAAGGTCAAAGACACATTATTAAAGTTAGCTCTGAAACACCTGCATCTGATGCCAATAAACATGCAGCTACATCATGCAAAAGCTGAAACCCACACATATAATTTCTACACACTCTKGTACAGGTTTTGTAACGCGGGCTGAGCCCTCTTTTCTGTGTACGCATCAACTACCTTTTCCTATAGTAATCACCTTCCAACTAGATGAGATAAACTTTTATAAACTGCARTCCTTTTCTCTGGACTGCAGTGCAGCCAAGCCTTTACATCGCCTATTCACCAATTCCTGCACCACAGCAGAGTCCTGGTTCCTTTTAACACAGAAATACCCATTTATTCACAAGCTTTATATTGCCACTTAAATTAGCAGTGTTTTACAAACATTAACAAATTTATCTTCCTAGTAGCCTATTGTGAGAAGTAGGACTAATATTCTTATTTTACATTAAGAACTAAGACACATAAACAAATATCAACACTGTAGCAGCTCATACTGGTATGTACAAGGCTTAAAGACAGAWATTTCAGAGCGCCTAGCATTTTTAGCATATTTAAGTATTCAGAAAAAATAAATATGTTATTGGCTTCAGTTACTGCACAAAATTTCAGAAGATTCTGCAAATCAGAACCTCAAGCAGCCTCCGCAATAAGACTCAAGCACTATTCTTTGAACACAAACTATGCTACATAACAAAACAAAGACCCAATAAAGAAAACTAGAACAGTGCYACATTACAATGTATCTACATAATACAGACAAGTCCAGGTTGTATGAGTAACCTTAAACTTACAGGGTTTCATAAGCTCTTCAATTTGAAGCTATATATTTTAGTGAGAATTATTCCTCATGGCTAGGAACTCACTCATACACAGCAACAGTAAATAGTTTATGTTGGCTGTATTTATGAACTATGTCATTATCAGTAGCATTAATAAAAATACCTCCAGTTAAAATTCAGGAACAGCCTTGCAAAACCACAAACAATTTRGTAACATGAACCAAAGAAAAAATCCTAAAGCCCATTTACTAACATGATTAAAGCTGCACTTGTGAATTTTCAATGCCCTTTACATCTAGATCCACTTCTATGACTTCATTTTTCTCCTACCCCATTTTAGCACATGACCTAACTACCCTAGCACAATAGCCGTGAGAAAAGATAGTATCCTTGTTTCCTTGCATTCCAGATTTAGAAGAGATGGGAACTGAATCTCACAGTGAAGCCTGGCCYTGTGCTATGAGAAAAGTAATGGCTTGCTTGCGTTTACCTTAGCCTCTGTTTTTTACTGAGAGGCAGTAGGAAGGAAGAAATATTCTCAGCAYGTGATATTTCAGTCTGATTCTACCGACTTACAGAGGAGCCATAAGATTACAAAAATCAATAAAACAAAAGACCAAACAATATCTCACTCCAGCCTGCTAAGCTTCTCTTCACAAAGTAGTAATCAGATTTTTTTCCAATTCCACTATTAGATGCCTGGATACATAGGCAAAAATTGTACATACACTGGACTCTGGTCCTTGTTTTAAATTATTCCTCTCACTGTGACAGAAGCAGYACAGAAAAAATTTGTTTTGTGAACATGACAAAACTGACTTCTTAAACTAACAAGCATAAAGACTCAGAAGACTCAGATGATTCCCAAATGGGTAAGCCAGCTGCCATGTGACTTCCATGTAAATTCAGAAAACATTCACTCAAATTCAAACGCTTTACTGTGGAGGCAAAGAAGTGGCAAAGAAGTATTCTAGACCTAAGCAACTTAACTAAGCTTAAATTTTAATAAAAAAAAATCAACCTCATCACTTAAAACCATTTCTAATTTTTAATTTTTTTTACACTTTTAAACAATTGGAAACAGTATAGATCACACAGCCATTCATTTGAAGTCAGAACTATAAGATTTACCAAACACATAAACATGCAATCTCACTTTCAAATACCCTTRAAAAGCACAAGCACATTTTAAAAGGCCAGTCGTCAAAAAGACAATATCTGGCACCACTACAGACAGGTATTTTTCCAAGGCTGCTATCTCCCTCATTAGGAACCACAGATGAGATGACAGATGCTCTACGGGATCAGACCAACAGAACAGAGTATTTCTGTCACAAGGGACCTACAATGATCGCCTAGGCGCACCATTTTAGATCAGCCCTTTGTCTCCCACCATGGCACCACAAGATGTTTAAGAACAGCAAACAAGCTGGGCTGCTACTCATGGTGTGATCCTCCTTGTGCTTCCCCACATTCACAGCTACTGGATTGTGGAATACTAATATTCTCATGTTTTTGGCCTTACCATATAGCATTAAAATGCTCACACTGAAAGACAAAGACAGATTCCCAAACAGATTTTGCAACCACAGTCTACTGGCAAAATTGAGAAGTATAGCAAAAGCTGAACCCAGAAATGATTAAATCTGAAACTGGTATGAGATTTGATGGGTTTGAGACACAAACATCCTTTCTTCTCTAATGCTGAAAAGATAAAAATACAGTGAGAGCTCTTCTGGGGAGAAAGAAATCTTTCTCAAAAAAACATGGGAGAGTACTTTATCTCACAGGAAAAAGCAGAGATGGCATCATGTTTTAAAAGAAGCTAGAGGGAGAAGTGATAACAACAAACAGGATAGATAAATTCATACTACAGAAAACCTTCAGGAATTACGTTAGTCTTTTTGTGGAGAGATTTCTTATGCTTCTGCTAGATACCCATGAGGTTTACCTCTTTTTCCACACGTGAAAGCTTGCATTAACTTGGCATGTCARTGAAGTTTCAAATAGAATTCAAGCATGTTTTGTAAAAGCAATGAAATACCAGTACCACCAAATCAAACAAATGAGTTACAGATATTTTTTTTTATTTTTAAATGGAAGGTAGATATAGACATATAGAGATAGATAGATTGCTAAAAAAAAATGAGCGCCTATGTAAATTAGTCAAAAAATAGGTGTTAAGCTTAGGAGCAAAACATACCTCGCAGTCAATTCCAACAAAGAAGGACTTACTTTCTTTGTAAGTGTCACTCTCAAAACAACGAACTGATCATTACAGGAAGTACACATTCAATATGCACATTTAATAATATAGTGTGACTGAGCAACCAGATCTCAAACTGTTTAAATTTAAGCGGAGTAACTGAAGACAATTTCCAATTTGTCTGAACCACCACCACAGTGGTGCAGTCAGATTCCAAACAAATCAATGTTAAATTCTGCCAGCCTAATAGTGAGAAACTTCAATGGTAGCCACATAATCCTTCAATATAGTAACACTCCCCTAASGAAGTAAAGCCAATATTTCAGTTAGTCATGTTCCTGGATTCCAGCAGYAGCTCTAAAAAAAGTAGTTTCCATAGCCAATCTAGAATTCATTTGAAGATTGCAATGTGCCTGTGACACATGAAAGTGGCCACACCATGTCAGACCAAAGGTCACTGAAATCAAATGAGCAAGGAAGAACACAGCACACACAAAGCAACACTTTTGCAGGACGYTCTCCTACCCTTGTAACAACTGGTGCCTTGTGCTATATATTGCCATTGATTATAACCAATATCATGATTGATAATCTTAAAAGAATGATGGATCCACCCACATCAGCTGGAAGGTGTTGTTTCACAGTACCAGTGATGAGGTAGGCAACTAAAAGACCAGAAACCCGGAAAGCACACCTGGCCCTCAGTTAAACCCTGAACAGGAAAGCACAGCAYAGACCTGGCTTCTCTTACTCTTCACATGTTGTCTCCTACCTTGCTCCTAAATCTGCATGGGCTCCAAATCATATAGAACACAGAATGTCTTTTATTTTGCAAACACTTTCTACAAACATTAAGAATGTGTCAAAATTAGAAAAGAAAGAGGATTGGGATTCAGGAGACAAATCCTCAAAATCAAGAATTCTGTACTGCTCTAAATGCATTTTTACAGTAGATTATCAATTAGTTAGACAGTCCTTCTCAATTTCTCAATGTGAGGCTTACAGTAGTTGTACTCCATTAAAATAAAAAAATAATTTATTTGTAGCTCTCCATCCACACTTCAGATAAAAACTAGATGGTCAAACAATTGACATTTCTGTTAGTGTAGGATCTATTCCCGGAACGCACAAGACCCATGAAACACGAAACACATGCTTTACCTAATCATACACTCAGAAGATTATCTTTGTATGCATAGATACAATGTATGCAACATAAATTAGCAAAATGAATCCTTCCACAGAGCTTTTGCCAACAATAAATATCCTAAGTTAGCAAGTTAGTCTGATTTTTTTCAAAACTGAATTGAAATGCCAATGAAAATTAAGTCAAACCAGGACAATGATTTTTAGGAAAGCTTTTCTGCAAAGCATAACTTAGCTCACATACCTTAAAAGTTTTCCTCCCAAAATGTCCTTTAGTATAGTTTCCCTATGACAGCATCTACTTCCTCTGATTTTCACTTTCTGAAATATCCTTTTTTTTTTCTTTTCTGGGGACTCTGTGAAAGAAAAACATATCAAACTTTTTTTATTATTTTGGCATTTTCTAATATATTGCAAAACTCAGATAGTTGCCCTGCATTTTCAGATTATTACCAGAAGCCAGCTTTAAAAAAAAAAAAAAAAGCAACAGTTCAACTAAAAGAAAAGAGTAGACTTTTGAAATGACTGCAAGTAGTAGTATGCTATCACTTCTTACATGTATTTTTGAGTAAAGAAATAAACTCATCTTTACACATGATGTAAAAGAAGGTTTTKTAGAGTTCTTGGAATTTCTTATGACAAGTGTATTGTAGCTGAAAAATTAGACTATTTCATTTATTTCTGAACCTTGCCTCTGAWAAAACAAAAACCCATTAACAAGGAAAATGAAAGTAGAGAAGGCCAATGTTTATTACACGAAAGCCAAAGTTAGTAATGGTGTTTTCATATATGTGGAAAAGAACAAGTGGCAATATGAGAAAGGAGCCACTCACGACACCCATTTCTTATATGGTTCCAAGTACTCCAAAATCTAGAATAGCAAGACATCAGGAAGTTAGGATGACTAGCAGGACCAAAATTTCAAGTTGTAACTCTGGACTGCAATTTAGGTGAAGCAAACTAACGCAGAAGGTTTTTGAGTGTTTTCATTAAGGAAAAAAAAAGTATATAAAATATAAAATACGGTGAGGAACAAGCTTAAAATATAAAATACAGTGAGGAACTTCTTACAAGTGCAAGCTATACTGCACAAGCCATTTGTGGACCCATTGTAAGTATTCCCTTATGCTAAAATGTCCAGCTTTAGATGAGACATTCTGTAACCGTTTAGTTATCCTTACAAGAAAACGCACATAAAGCAAAACTGAAAGGAAAACACAGTGTGTAAAGGTGAAGAAAGCAAAACTATTTGCAAGTTCTCCATTATTTAAAACAAAACAAGGATCACCTACACATTTATAAAATCTTACAAAGGAATAGTCTTCGCTCATATTCAAGCAGGCACTACTCGGTACTCCTTTCTGATTACKTAGCGATGTTCAAGACACAAAGAACTGCCTAATATAAATATAAAACTTCTATTCTACATGACCAAAAATAGAAAAGACTAACTGATGTTAACATTCACTCGCTGCAAGTGAACAGCATATACAAAAGGAGAAAAAAAATGCAGGAGCTTATAAGCACTATAAACCTCCACACACTTCTAATGTACAGATACAAAATCATTTGTTTCAAGGCTGCAAAGCCCAAGGGAAAGGCTTCGCTTGCAAAAAACTACAAGCAGGAGCAAAACATTTTGGCTCAAATCTTCCCAACACAAACCAGGTGGAAGAACAAGACACAAGAACACAAATCCTAATTCACACTCAAATGGGACTCGTGCAAGTAGAACAAACACCACTATCAGCACCTGGGCACCTTCAAGTTTCAAGCAGATGTTAAGACTTGCATGTTGTAAAATGAAGCCCTTAATAAAATCCCATTTATCATATTGGAGCCACTTCAACACCGAAAATTTGTATCTTCTGGTCCCTAAACAAAAACAAGGAACACACCTTTCTTCTTTCTTTTTAAAAAAGTACTGCATCACATATTTTAGAGTGGAGAAGTTTGTTTGTCAGGACAAACATTAAATGCAAACCCAACTTTTCCTTAGAATTCCAAATACGACTGACTGTATACCCATGTGCACATTTTCATCTGCATACAGGTCATCAGTAGAACTTGAAGCTGGTAACCCAAGTCCAACTCTGGTCTAATTGCAGGCGCACAGTAGCTAGTGCATGGAAGCATAATAAAAGATTTCCAGTGAATTGTACAGCCATCTGTCAGATAGCAATAAAACCTCAAGAAATTCCCCCTGCTGTTTTTGAGCTCTAACATAGGAGAATCTGATAGTTAGAGACATCTTGCTACCTCAGTGCAATAATCCACTCTATCATGAAGATATAAAAGACAGATTTATAAGAAGATAGTATTTACTATTAATTTGATATTTTAATTGCTCCTCTGATGCTTCCTTTTTAGAGACTGCCTTATACGTCCTAAGTCTTGAGAGGATCTTACTAGGGATTGGCTTTGACTGTCTAGGTGGTAATTTCAGAAAATGACAGGTCATCTTGATTTTCTGCGTCTGTGCTTTATATAAAATTATAATCAATCAAAACTGACAGATCATTACAAAATCCGCAGAATCTCAGAACACTGAGCAGCAAGCAGAGAAAACAGCAGATGAAGTCACATGTCAATGAATGCAACATAATATACTGGTAGGAGATAATTAATACCATTACCACAAAAATTTGTAGTAGTCTCTGAACACACACCTTCAAAAACATCTGTTCACTTGCTTCAAGCGATCAGATTAGAAACCATCCAGAATATAAGACTATTTTTAAATGGGAAGGAAGAACATTATATGTTCTTACATTGCTGATACATTACTGGTATGCCTATATGTTCAAGTTCTTTTAGCTTATGAAAATCATAAAGCACCAGAATAGATACAGAGTATTGATCAAAGCATGCAGCAGCTTCCACAGAGAAAAAGTAAAGAGACTTTTAGCTCACAAAACAGGTAAGAATGACAGGTCTAAGACAGAACCACACCAGAAGAAGAAGTCAATAGCACAAAGTGATACGGTATGTCAGACGCCTGAAGTGTTTTCCAGAAGAACTTGAGAACATCACATTAAATTTTTTAGAAGTAGCTCTTACGTACTTCTTTGCCTCGTAAATAATTAAATGAGATAATTCAATGCCTAAAGATATTTCTGAGACCACAAAAAAAAGAAGTATGAATTTATTATAAAAATTCAATTAAAAAAACAGAGATCTGTAGCAAGGTTTCCATTTCAAGATATCTCTGAACTGTAAAAGCAGAACAGGAACTATTACACTATGTTTGTGCCAACAGCCCCTTCTTATCTGACAGCAGCAAGTACAGAGCTACATGGATTTCACTTGGTCATGTACAAACATCCTCAAACAGACGACTCTCATTCTCTTATCCCCACAGCTGTAGAAGACCATGCTTTTCACTAGCAACTCCTGCAGCTGTGATGTTAATAAAAACACATGCAAATAAGAAGCAGTGGGCTCCATAGAAGAATAGGATTTACACTTGTCAGCACTCAAAAAAAAAAAAAAAAGCAGATAAAAGCCAAAAAATAGCTTCCAAATTCCCTGCCTAGAATCACAAGACACAATTCTAATTTTTTCAGTCTTTCATTTTAAATCATTTTCTAGACCACTGCTGTCCTCTAAATACCCTTCAAATGGTGCACATCACACTTAAGAATTCAGAAGCTAAAACAGTGGGATACTGCATGACCAACCAGCTCTGAGAACAGAGAGATTAGTTCAAACTACTTTCAAGCTCCTTGCCTGAGTACGTACCCTCTTCCTAACAACACAATAATGTCTCCTTATTTGTTAATTATCCAAAAATTCATCTTCTTTTTCCATGGAATTTAATCTTCCCTTGTTTCTTGCCCCACCACACATCCGTTCTGTCCAGCTTACAGAGAGTCAGTAAGCTTTCCTTCTCGCTGACCCCTGCTTTGTTACAGATGACGTATCCCATTTGCCAACAATAATCTAAACAGCAATCTCATTCTTCACCACACCTTCAGCTGTCTGCTGCTTCCCATGGCCTGGTAACTTTCTCAGCATGCTCTTTATCATCTCAGGCCTTCTGTGAAAGAACAGGCAAAGTGTAGAGCAGACATCTGGTAGTGAACCATGCAGAAAGTGGTTTTTAGGTGCAGTTACTCACCAGTTACTCAACCAGTTTTACTTCCACCCTGTAGAAGTTCCTACCTCACTGTCACAGCAAGACTTCATTTAGCAAGACCGAATCTCACCAGGCAGAAAAACAAGAAGGTGAAGGCAGATACAGGTTAGGAAGAGAAGAGCTAGGCTAGCTGACACAAGTCACATCCTGTAACTATGCTTAAAGACTCAGGGCTGTTGTCTTACTAAATCTGAAAAAGTGAAAAAATAAGCCACCACCCCCACTTTGCTTTCAAAGAGTGCACACACCTAGTTCCTCGTTACCTTTTATGTGCTTAGAAGGAAAAAAAAGCTTTCCCTTCCTTCCTCTAATTTTCCAAGATTTACACTTTCCCTAAATTGAGTTCCAGGATGCAAGGAAATCCAAAGAAAAGCATGGCCTCTATAGAGAGCTCCTGACTAACGGATTTTCACTGAACTCTCATTTCTGCAGTGTTGGAACATGCATCTCCACACTAGAGCCTAAAAGAAAAATGGATTGARCAGGATAAGGCTACTACAAGTGATCATCATGTGGCAGGTACTGTGCATCTCCAGCCCTGTTAACAAATACTACCAGCTAAAGAAAAGAACTGGTCCAGAGTTACAAAGAAATACATAATGCTAAGATGTCCAAAGTTGGCCTCAAATCGAGAACACACAAGTGACTCAAACATGCTAAAGTGTRTATTATATAGTGTATTAAAGAAACTTCTGAGCAAAAAAAGAGCAACTAAAGAAAACTAAACTACTGCATTTTCAAGAGATTTCTTGTCTTAGACGATGAGCGAAAGTGAAAACAACTTCTACAAAAAGTTGTTTTTGTAAGAGTCAAGCAAGAGTCAACAGCAAAACACAAAGTAAGTGTAGCACCCATCTTGACTAAAGAGTTATTCTATGCACTTATTTTTTTTGCGGATTTCATTCAGAAACTTAGATTTCAATTAGATACCAAATACTCTATTCTGAAGGTAGGAAGCAGTCTTCTTTATTTCAAAAAACCCCAAACCACTCAAAGCAGTGTTTCGTATCTTGATATCCATCTGTCTTAACACACAGCAAGTCAGAATAAACACATACATAAAACCCACATGCAAACCCTCAGGCCTGAGGCTGCCTATGCAAGCACCTCTTCAGGRGAAACACGAGTGAAGAACACTCATGCTGAGGGTCTCTCATCAGTACTAAGCTACGCCTAAGACTCCTCCTTGGAAACATTTCAGGTCTCAAACTTCACCTGGCTGCTGCTACGGCACAGCTTAGAAATCCAGA